ACTGGGTACTGGACTGGACAGCAATATCAATAGCACTGGGAGGCTGTGCTGGATGACCAGAAGCAGTGGAGTGTTCTCAAAGGTGAGCAGACAGAGTACCAGTTACCTGTCAACAGTGCTGGACAGCACTGTCCAGTTGTGCCAATCACCACCAGTCACCCAGGAGGCAGTATCAGGCACCCTAATATCAACAGCTCTTTGTGAGCTGCTCGTCTGACCCAATAGCTAACAGCTCCTAAGACACCAGGCCCTTGGCCACCTGTGCAAGGTGGTATCAGAGTCAGGGGCTAAGAAGTACAGTGGCCAGGACTGCGAAGGTCTACAGAAGCCTGCAGATCTATGTAGGTCTCTCTGCATGGCCTGGGCACTGCTCATGGGCAGAGTACTTGGTCATGGGAGGGAAAGTCCCCACTGCTGCCACCACTGCCTTTAGAGCTCCTGGTGGGAAAACTGTTGCTGCTGCCCAAGCAGATGCTGCCAGAGCCCCAGGGGCTCCAGTGGGGGAGGGGCCATACACTTCTGGCACCAACAAAGCCAGCAGGCCCTGCCACTTGAGCAGCAGGTCCAAATTACAAAATCAACTGCTGCATGTAAACTGGAATGCATCCCCCAAATTCCTGTAGCCTGGAATGAGAAGTCTGCTCATGTTCCTGTATAGAATTAGGTAAAAGTACCTTAACAGACACCAGTGGGCTGTGTTTATTTGATACTTAGTAGCCTGTGAGTAGAACTGCTGCAGGTGGAACCTTGGAGGCTTTTGATACAAGAAGCCATGTGGGAAGTGAGAGGTCACTGATTGGATGACTGGCCGCTATGAGGAGACACACAGAGGCGTTACATTATAGAGATTACCAGAGCTTGTCTTTTTATCTACCCCCAACCTTTTCCCTCCAAACACCATCCCTGATCAGTCTCAAGAAATTAAAACAGTGCTAAAAAGGGACCCAAAGGTGGGGGCGAGGTCACTGTCTGATACTCTTGAGAAAGGACTCTAGTAAATTCAATGTTCACAAATCCTTTCTGCCCCAGCATACTGACCTCTTCACAATGTGCCTCTGCTGCAACTTGCACCTATCGGGTGCAGTCTAACTTTTTCGCCCATCACCCTTGGGATTCACTTGGACCATGGAATACAAAGATGGGGTTGCTGGACAAGTTTTGAAGCCTAAGCTTCAAGGTGCCTTGCATCTTTGTTTTTTTCCTTCTTTGAAGGCTACTACAAGATGCTGTCAGAGACGATGACCTATAAGGAAGACCCCCCCCCCCAAGAGCGAGCAAGACCCAGATATGTCCCCGTAGAGTCCAGCCCCAGTCAACTGGTCAATTGATTGTGATCCATGAAGGAAGCAAGGACTGATGCCAGGAAAACCACAGGTCATCCCACTGAATTTGGTAGGTGATTGATTGCTATTGTTTTGAGGTTTAGGGTGGTTTGTTACGTAGGAACAGATAAAAGAAATAGGCCAATAAATGTACCAATTCTTTTTTTTTTTTTTTAAATTATCTTCAGAAAATCTAAAGCCAGAACTGGAAGTGATCTAACTAAATAGGTCATTTTGTGTCGTTCAGTTTCAGTGGTTTATGAACTTAATTGGAAAGTCACTAAACATTATTTCTCATTCTCAACTTTGAAGTTCACTTTAACTTGAAAAAATGTCACCCATCTTATAGGGAAAGAAATACCACAAAGCTGAATTTAAATATATTCTAATGCAATTTAACGCTGAATTATAAATTTAACAGTAGAAGGTTAAGTAACCTTCAGAATAGCTTACTGGGAAATCAGCAGTATTTGCAAAAATAGGCATAGAGATTTTTCTCCCTTGAAAGTTCTCAGTAAAGCAAAAGAGAACAACTGTGTGATCAAGTGATCCCCAAAGCCTTAATTAAATTCAGATGTTAAGGGAGAATTCAAGTTCTTTAATTTTATTTACTAATTTACAAAGAGAAGCATCAGAAAAAATATTTCTTAGTTCTTATTTACACTCTTCATAATAAGGTTCATTCATTCTTATTTTTTGTGTTTACATATGTTTATAACATTTATACCATATTAAACAAATATATCTCTACCTAAATACAGCAATAAGCCTAGTTTCACAGGGAATAGTGAATATATGGCTGTGTTCCCCTATTTACCTACTCATCAAAATTCTGGCAAGCTTTTCATGAGACTGTATTAGTTAAAAACACCCTAACATTTCTATTATAAAGTTTTCCCAAGGTGTTTCTGGTGAAACTGGGAAGAAATATTTTTGTATATAGGATCAAATATAACAGCAAAATCTGACCGTAATGCCTACATTTGCAGCAGGAGTTATATTCAGAGTTGCCATAGCAGCCACCCACCCACCCACCCACCCACACACACACACATACACACACAAAGGGGTGGCAGGAGAAGAGAGAAAAGCAGTTAGCAAAGAACAGAATCTATTGTTAAAAAGAGAGAGGTACCCTTCAATGTAATTACAAGCAGGAACCCTAACTTTTAGTCTAAACCACTGTTTGGTGATAGATTTCTAAGTTTTACTAAATGCTTTTTACTCTCAACATCTGAACTCTTGACTTTAACCTTTATGGAAGCTGAGATTATAAGGTAGAGAAGAAGCGATTTCACTTGTATACCTTGGGGTTGATATGATTTAATGATTCCCTCTATGAAACATTTGGTATCATTGTAACCAGGAAAATTTGTGGTTCTATGGGTCTGGATGAGTATTTGAGGGCTTTCAAATGTCCTTGACTATAAAATGGGTATAATACAATGACAGTACGTCAAGGAGTTATTAGGAAGATTTAAGTAGTACAAATAATTATTACATAAAAATGAGGACAAATAAAGAATTTTAAGCAATAGATAAAATGGGTAAATTTTTATTAAGTATATACTGCTATATATTAAATTAGTAAAAAGGATCTGTTACTTTAGCATCTGACACAGCAAATGCTCAATAAATATTCTATAATAGTAATACAGTAAATTATCAGCACATTTACCACCATTGGTAAACCCTGGGTACACAGCAAAATCTATCATCTCTTAGTACTAAATAATCATGTAACAGTATTTGGACTCAGAGTATTCTGGAATTTGTCTGAAGAGAGGGTTCAATCACATATGTATGGACAGATATACTTGCAATTCATAGTCAGATACTTATAAATACCACATTTATATGTGATGCAATGAATGAAAAGTATTTTGTGATTTCTGTTTCATTCAAGTTTTAAATCTTCATCTTGAGGCTGAATGCTTCATATTCTAGGAGGACGTAGAGACTAGTTAAGAATATGCAGAGATTACATATCTCACATCAGGTCTAGAGGTATCTTAGAATGTAAAGCAGAAAGCAAGTCCGATGGGATAAAGGAAACTGGGAAACAGTAGCAGAATTGGAAGCAGACAGAAGGCAAGAGGGAATTGTCACTGACACATGGTACAAAATCAGAACATAGTGGCAGAGAAGTGAATAGATGGTATCTGATCCCTAACCCTATGCAATTTTTCTTGATGGGATTTTTAAAAATTCCAGGCAGGGAGGGATCGCATGAGCTTGACTTAAAAACTTTTAAAATGTTCAAACGCATTCTGGCCTCCAAAATTATCCTACTATTGTGAACGTTATGAACAATGCTATATACTCTTCTTTCTAAATTGTCAGTAATTTTTATCTCCAGGCACAGGTAGGGCATTGATGCATGGTCACAGGGTATCACAGCATATTATCTCTGCTTTTAGAGCTAACCTGACATGACTGTATCTGGAACATCAGAAACGCTTCCATGGTCATACAGTTCTTTGAAAGTAAAAATAACTGAGTTGCTTTCAAATCATTAGAAATGACTAAATCTGATTTCTGAGTCTTTACAAATGACCAAATTGGTTCTGAGTCTTTTGTCAATGATCCAAAACAGGATGGAAGTAACTTATTGGCACCTTCAGAAAGTAGGATCCAAAGGTATTTAAATTCTCCAAACTTATTACTAGAGCTATGGAAAAGCCTACAGAGCACTCTTCTGGGGTGCACTGGGTGATGGAGGGAAAGCTTATATCAAGGACTGCCTGCCAAGGCTGCCATTTCTTTCTACTGCGTATCAGAGTAATGTACTCAGGGTGAGCAAGAGCTTTCACCTGAAGGGCCTGAGATAAATGCACTTGGGACCTAAATCTCACCATTAAAATAATAGCAGGACCTCCCTGGTGGCACAGGGGTTAAGCCCCACACTATGAAGCAATCACAGCCTCTGCAGCATGAGTGCAATCCCTGGCTGGCCAGGGAGCAACCCACATTGCGCAGCAGACCTCTCCTGACTCTCCTGCTGCTCCTCTCAGCAGTGTATTTCCGTTGATCTGCCTTTTCTGTTCCCCGCTCTGTCTCTGATGAATCTTCTAACCCCCCTTCATTTCTGGCCTGTACCCCAGCTCTTGTATGCATAAATAAATAAATCTTAAAAAATAAAATAATAGCAAACACTCAAGAATAAAAGAAAGACATAAGTTGTGAGCACATATTTTGGTTACTTCCATGAAAAGCTATTTAGATTGGTCGAAATATTAAGATGCTATAGTTACCAATAACAAAATGTTTTCTAGAAAAAAAGAGTGCCCCTTCCTCACCCACACCAGAGAATATCAAAACTGGAATAGACAATTGTGGTATCTGATCTGGGCAGTTCTCTTAAATCTCACTGTTATAAGCTCATGGGGGACTGCTGTGGAACAAATTTGTTCCCATTAAGCCCTATTTAATAGAAAGACAAACATACTCTCAACTGGAAATGCTAATGGCTATATTTTTTAATACCACAGACTACCCACACATAACCTCATGAGAGTCAACTGACTTAATTTTATTCTCAATGCAAACAGCTATTATTGAACATAAATTAAATGGTCTACCGAAGGCTGTTAATGAGACTTCTGGTATGGTAGGAGAAATTATTTTGATGTCGGTAAAACTCACAAATATAAAGACTGGTTTGTAATCTTTACTTACTGTCAGATACATCGCTGCATAGACGCTGAGAGCTGCTTCTTTGGATGGAAAAGTTTTCCTTGCTCTCATGATGAGATCTGGGTTGCCAGTGCAGGCCTCTTCCCCACTGATGAACTGGGTGTACTGCTGACATCCCAGCGCGGTGTAGTTGGGTTTGCACAGAGCAAGGAAATGGGGAGCCAGATTCCCTGTCACTACTTGTCCAGCATTTACAAAAATATCCGTAGCAAATAGTCCAAACGTGTAAATTCCTGAAAAACAAACCATTTTAACTCTTTAGTCTTTGTATATTTAAGTTTACAGTCAACCAGCACAGAAATATTTTAGAAACTATAGAATAGTTCAAGCATACATACATATGTTCCTTCCATCTCATCCCTCTCCAATCCCTCTCTTTCTTTCTGGAGCAGTGGGAGTGTTAAATTATTTAACATATTGAGCTGTCTACCACTGGCTAAATTTTTATGCATGGCAAGTTTATAAGACATAGGATAAAAGAAGAATAGATATTCTAAGAGTGAGTTTAGGAATGGGAATGTTTCTCTTGAGAAGTTGCAGTCTCTCACCTTCTACTAAAATACCAATCTTTATCTTGTCCCTATCTTTAAAAATACTTTTTGTCTTCCTAGCACAAAGGAAAGCAGTTGTCTCCCTTTGATTATGCCTCTTAAGTCCATTCAGATGGATGTTAACTCTGCTGGAGATACTAATTAGCAGTAAAATCCAATGCCATCAGTTTTCATTTCAAGATCGTGAAAAATTTTAAATAAAGTAGAATATTTCAGATTAATCTCTTCATTGCCTTCAGAAACAATTTTAAGTCACAATAACTGGTAACTTAGTTGCAAATTTTCTTTTATGGATTGAGTTTAATTGATCAAATTTGGGTCAATTTAGTAAATAATAAAGCAATCAAAATTATAATTTTTCAGTTCTCTTCACAGTATTAAGAATTATTTGCTCTGGTTACTTGAAGGCATAAAATTAGATATGGAAAATTTCTCTCACTTTTGTAAGGGACTTGCGTATTTACTCAGATAATAAAAACATTTCCTAAATTCAAAGTCATCAGTCATTATTGCGAAAACTTATTTTCTACTTATATAGGATAGGCAAAATAAATTATTTAGCCTCATTTTCAATTAAACTGACACATCCAACTTTCAAAGAAGTGGGACTGAGGTGAAGAAATTCACTCTTTCAATTTTTAGGGAAATAAAATCAATCAGGACATTTTAAAACTGAACCAAAAATAATACTTCCCAAACAGCTGGTTCATTAAATAGTCATATAATATTGTCATAGGAATTAGATGCTGTCCTTCTTAGTCATGCTCTTTGGAGTAATTCCTAAGTCTTAGTATAAATTTACTGACTGTTGTGTAGAAAATCACCAGGAAATTTGCACAGGATCAAATAATTTTCCAGCATTAGATGCACGGCTATCCTTTTACTTTTCAAAATTTTATGTAAGATCATAAAATTTTCGTGCACAAGCCTGCACATAGCAAAATCTATGTGTAGACAAATGGCAATGAAACAAAGTCCTTAGTTCTGCCTCTAAACTTTTTTAAAGGAAACAAAAGTTCCATCTTTATAGCTCAGCATTCTACAAGTAATAAGTAAATATTATCAAGGGCAGAAGTTTGAGGGAGGCAGAGATATAAGAGAGTGGAGCTCGACAATGTTGGTGTATACAACCTTTCCTTGCCAAGCCTCATGACCTAACAAGAGGGGCTAAGTAACAAGTTTTTACCTCTATGTCCTTGAAATTGAGGCCATAAGATGTGCTCAATTTTACCCAACTAAACCCTTCTTTTTACCTGGTGTAATAAACTTTCCTGTTTAAATTAGAGAGAAATATTTGATAAGGATATGGAATGTCTGTTGATACGTGTAAAGGTTCCCAAATGTGCTTTAGAATTAAACTATTAGCTCGTCAGGCCCAAGGCCAATATTGCAATTGACTACAAAGACACATATTAAAATGAGATCTCAGGGTGCCTCCACTCTGCTGATCCCAAAATAAACTCTCTATAAGGAATGATGCCCTATTATAGTAAAGCTTTGCTTACAAGCTTTGTTACAATAAATAAGAAACATCCGAATCATGATAAACAAGGAAACAAATCAAACACTGCTAAATCTTTCATAAAATTTTACAGAAATTATAAAACATGCAAAAACTTAAAAGCATGCTCTACTTTGTGCTACATACTCTTTCTGCAAAAGCAGAAAAATTTTACTTAAAGTAAGTAAAATATTTCCTTAACAGTGTTTGGGAACCTGTCAACTTTCAGTTCTGGGTATATTATTACACATTGCTTATTTTGTTATTAATTGACTCTAACTCAAAGAAATACATTAAGGGCACAGTATAACACAAATGAAAAAAAAAACTGTTTATATAAAGTTTCCTGTCTAAAAGTTTTCCCTTTAAAAGTATAAATCAGGGCTCTGTAGATGTATAATTTGATGATAGAAATGAACAGTTTTAAATATGAAGACCTTTTGTCTCCAGAGAAATTTAAAGGCATGATGACATTTTACTAATCTTTAGAGAGTTTATATATAGATTAAATGATCTCTGCATAATATCTTAAAGCTTCACCTTGTTCCCATCAATATGAGAAACACATTGAAAGGTTTTAGCATTCTTAATCTTAATTCTTTTTTTAAGATTTATTTTTATTTATTTTACATACAAGAACAGGCCAGAGGTACAGGTGGTGAGAGGGTTTACCAGCGACAGAGTAGGGAGCAGAACAGGAGAATTTACTGAAATACATTGCTGAGGGGAGCAGTGGGCAAGACAGGAGAGGTCTGCTACGCCATATGGGTCAGCTACCTGGCTGGGGATCCAATTCATGTTGCAGTGGCTGGTGACAGCTTCATAGTGTTGAGACTTAATCCCTTGCACCACCAGAGAGGTCCCCTTTATCTTAATTCAGATCAGAATCTATCTTAAATGTTAATTAGTATATACAAGACACACTTATTTTTATTTGATAAATCCAGGCATAATAACTTATATTAGATTTACGTTACTTAAAAAATTTGTCTTGATCAAGCTTTTATTGAATTGATAAGTTTTACAATATTTGTCAATGTTCATAGATATTATTGCTAGAAATTGAAGTTGAAAGTTGAAGTATCAGTGAATCTTGACCTCTAATAAAATCACTAATACATTTTGTTTACATAAAAAACAGCTCAGACATATTGCTTGGTATGCTACATACAGTAATTGCAAATACATTTTGTTATTGACCAAGCTATTTTTCTTGGCCTTCATTGTATTCAGCAGGCTATCTAGATTATCATTCCCCCCAAGCATTTTGTTCTGAAATTTTATATACATTGCAAATAATTTCTCTTATTTATATAATTTTTGGGTTACTTAAAGATTTAAATATTTAAGTGTGTGATGTTCTTTTTTTTCCTTAAAATAATATGAAAACGATACCCTGAAATGGAGTCCTGCATTATTAGAAAATGGTATGTAACATTTATTTTTAAAACCAAATTGAAAAATTTCAAGAAAAAATATAACCTAATATTTACATAGAGTTAAAATAGGGCTCATTTTACAGACTAGTTTATACACATAATCATTGTTTCAGTAATAATAAAAACAATTCACTGAGCACATACCAAGAAATCGTACAGTCCGCCGCACCAGTGGGTTTATATAGCAACAGTCTCCAGTTAAAATAGTTTTTTCCTGGTTTTCAAAGTCCCTTGTGGCCAGTTGTAGGCAAAACACAGCAGTTTCTCCAACTATTATCTTACAAAGAAATAAAAGGTTAAAAAGGTTAGAACTGAACCAATATAAATGTAGAATGCTTTTTTTATTTTCAAAAATGCAAAGAAAAGAGGCTTCTGTGAGAATAGTAATATCAAATACAAAATCAAACCAATACTTACTTATTCATATATTTTTCTATTGTATTTTTTGAGGTAATCTTGGTATACAACACTGTATGATTCAGAGGTACAGGCTCACACCTCTTCAAATGTATGTTACTACACCACACTGAAGCACCTATATAATCCTGCACCATAGTTCATTGGACCCCGGCCTCCCTTTTACTCCACCTTCCCCCTTTGATAGAGTCAGTTCTTTTTTTTTTTAAGATTTATTTATTTATACAAGAACTGGGGTATAGGCCAGATGCATGGGAGGGTGAGAGGATTCACCAGAGACAGAGCAGGGAATAGAATAGGCAGACTGACGAAATACACTACTGAGGGGAGCAGCGGGCATGACAGGAGAGGTCTGCCGCGCCATGTGGGACCCTTGCCAATCCCGGCTGGGATCGAACCAGCGCTGCAGAGGCTGCAGACAGCTTCACAGCACAGCGCTCAACAACCAGTGCCACCAGGGGAGGCCCTAATAGAGTCAGTTCTTCAGTCATATTTGTAGCCTAGGTTTTGGTTTGGTTTTATCTGAGCCTTTCTTTTATTGCTCTGTATTCCACATAAGAGTGAAATCATCCATTGACCAGACCCTTTTATCACAGCCTTGTCTGTATGTATACCACCCGCATTTCCCTTAAGTCAAGGGAATATTAAACCGATAAATTATGAATACAAATGGACTATAATGTTTTTTTCTAAAAGACTTCATTAAAAATGAAATATACAAAGGATCTTTGCTTTAAGGAAGCGCTCACTTATTTTTCATGTGTAATTAAATTCCATGTTTTATATTTAAGTGCTTGTGTCTTGTTTAAATTTGACTCTGCCGGAGAAATAAGAACAATTCTCTAGGCAAATATTTTTGAAAGGAACTAATATAGGCATACTAATTTAAAATTATTTTAATTATTTTATAACAAGGGGGAAAAGTCAGTTCATACGTGTTTAGACTTGAAACTACCCATTGCCAAAATTCTCATTATTCCATCCTGAGACGTTATTAAGAATTGTGAAGATTAGTGTGCTGTTTATGCTTTTGTAAACATATATTCATTTTAACCTTCATAAAATCCATAGGAGACAGGGAATATTATCATATCTCTTTTACAAGTAAAGAAACCAAGACTTGGAACTCAAATAGCTACCCAAGGTTACAGAGATAATAAAGGAGAAAAACCAAGTTCTGATAACAGATTCTTTGCTTGATTATTCTAGGCCCTCTCTTTCGTTGGTGTCTGTATCACTTGGAGTGGTTTTCATCTCAAAATCACCCAACAAGGAATTAAATGAAGTGTTACTATTCCATTTTAGAGATGTAAAAAATGGAAACTTGGAGTAGTTAACTAATTTTCTCCCCATTAGGTCTGTCAGAAGCCAAGCATTTCTGACTCAGCTCCAAAGCTTTCGGCTATTTAATATCATGAACAACACTAAAAATAAAATCAAGAGAAAAGAAACCGGAGCCAATAAATAGTACATCTCTTAATCTGTCATTGTTAAGGATTGTTTTTAGTACATCTTGTCAAGGTGAAGTAATAGGGAAATGCTTTTGAGGTCTTCATGTTAAGTAGTATTTATGATTACAGGATAGTCAAAATAAGTGGGAGGAAAGAAAAGGAGGTCACCGGAGATTAGGTGCTTGATTTACTTTAACTCAAAGATGAGCAACAGATGATGAGGCATCTCTTAATTTTTATCCTTTTTTCTTCCTCCTCCTCTTTCCTTACTACATGTCTTCTTCTAAGTAGGTCAGGGTGCAAGATTAAACCAGAAGATGTTGAACTGAGCTATATTAAAGGAATCTGGTCTTGTCTATCTAGTGGGATAGACTGAAATAGGAGAGGCTAGAGAACTCAGCTTTCCAAATCCTCCTGAAATGTTAACTTGGGTGAAGTAAAGCAGCAGTGTGATGAATCAGTTCATTCCACCCAAAAAGACACAAGAGATTGTACTTTATGGGTTTTTCAGTTACCACCAAGTCCCTAGGAGAAACTGACAAATAGACAAACTGTATGCTTGACACCTTCTTATTTATTTCCCTTTCTGAATCACTCTTTCATGCTCTACCTCCTCTCTGCTGCTCCTTGAAAGAAGTTATTTCTGAGTCTTCATTTTCAATTCCTTCCAGGACTGCTTTGCCCTAGAATCCTCCAGTTCTAATGTTCTGTCACCCATTTCCCCCATGAGTTCTATAACACCCCCAACTTTGCCCTCTCTGACTTCTCCACAGCAGGTATGATGAGATGTCTACCCACAGGGCTGCCCCCCCATAGCTCACTGAAACCCCAGTACAGTCTGCTAACACACTAAGATCCCTAGAATATATTAAAATAATATACCTAACAATTCATACTTATGAAATTCATCCTCAATAGAGCTCATTTTTCAATAGATCAGAAAGTCTTAGTTTGCTTCAGACATTTTACCTGACTCCTCATGACGAACTTCGTGTGTGAGGAAGGCTCTGCTCTCTACCCCACCTCTTCTAACTAGATCTTCTACCCTTAGCCCTTGACTTGCTAATTCTTAGTTACCAGCTTCCTACCAGGCTGAGAATTACCTTGTCTTATATTCCTTGTCCCAGGGTAATTCTTCCAGTAATTTTTATGAGGCTCACATCTTACCTGCCTGTCTCTCAGGACACTGCCTGTTTTTAAATTTCCTGTTCGTGACTTGAGATTATCTGTCAAAACACTGGCTCAATTAATACTGTTTGGCTGTTACTAAAAGAAATCCACCCAATCTGGAACTGATTCCAGGATGGGCGGCTTATCTCAGAACCTATCTCAGAATCAAAATTACTCAGGAATTCAGCCAGCTGTTCCCTGAGTCTCATTTTTTTTTCCCCCTCTGGAATGACACTATGTCTCCCATCTCAACACTTCTCTAAATGCCTGGCTCAGTCTTCTTTTTTTGCAAGTTGCTTCCCTGGTTGTGTATGATGGCCCAATAATCTCTGCGAGTCTCATCTTGAATATGTCAGCTCAGTTTAAGGCAAATTCAAAAGGGCTAGAAACAACAAGTACTGGTAAGGCTGTGGAGAGAAAGGAAGACTCTTGTACATTTTTGGTGGAAATGTAGACTGGTCCACCCTATATGGAAAACAGTATGGAGATTCCTTAAAAAACTGAAAGGAGAAATATATGATTCAGCAATACCCCTCCTAGCTATTTATCAAAAAACAACCCCACTAATTCAAAAATATATATGCACCCCTCTGTTCATCACAGCAACATTCACGATGGTCAAGACATGCAAACAACCTAAATGTCCATCGACAGTTCCAAAATAAATTCTGGTATAAAAACACAATGGCAGGGCCTCCCCTGGTGATGCAGGTAGTTGAGCGCTGCACTGTGAAGCTGTCCACAGCCTCTGCAGCACCTGTTCGATCCCCGCCGGCCAGTGAGGGTCCCACATGGCGCGGCAGACCCCTCCTGTCGTGCCCACTGCTCCCCTCAGCAGTGTATTTCATCAGTCTGCCTGTTCTTTTCCCTGCTCTGTCTCTGGTGGATCCTTTCACCCTCCCGCACATCTGGTCTGTATTCTGGATCTTGTATAAATAAACAAATAAATAAATCTTAAAAACAAAACAAAACAAAACAAAAAAACCCCACAATGGCATTCTACTCACCTATTGAAATGATAAAATCTTGCCTTTTGTGACACATGAATGGAATCTGATAGGAGGAGAGGGTAGAGGCGGTCAATTTGGTAGTGTGAATGGCACTAAAACTCTGGTGGGTGTGGCGAGGTCTGTATACATATAGAGGTGTGAGGAGCTGTATTCCCCAAACCTACATAGTATTGTAAGCCAAAGGGAGTCAATATAACTTTATTAAAAAGGGGTATATTTAGGGAAAAAAATCCTGTTTACAATTTTCAGTGTGTCTTCATAGCCAGTGGAGTAACACAAATTGACATTAGAGACTGTTTACAAATTGACATGGGTTCAGGTGAGTCTGAACCCATCTTATTCAATGTTGGCAATTCCACATGTTCTTTGGACATGCTATGTTCTGGTTACAGCCTCCCGTCATTCCAGGCATTTCTGTATAGCCAGGCTTTCATCCTGGTCTATGGTTTAGCAGAGCTTGATAAGCAGGGCATACCTTGGTCGGCAGTTCTATGCTTACAGGATTGAAATATTGCTGCAGCCTGGAACTAAGGTTATTAAAGAGAGAGAGTGAAAGTTTGGTGTCTTTTGTTGTGATCCCTGTAAGATTCAGCAGTGTTTTTCTGGCCAGGATAGAAAATAAATACTTTAGACTTTTCAGGCCAAATAATCTTTGAAGAAACTTGTTAACTCTGCCATTGTAATACATTAGCATTCATAGATCTGATCTAAAGGAATGGGCATGTTTGTGTTACAATAAAATTTTATTTATGAAAACTGCAAAAAAAAATATTGCTTACTGTGTGCAACATTATTTCTATTCCTGGTTGCCACTCTTCTCTCCAGCTCTCTGGGTTCTAACAGCACTTGATACATTTATTCACATGGTTTTTATAAGTTTCAGTAACACCTGTTTCCTCCACTTGACTGACAGTTTCTCAGAGACAGGGACTGTATAATGCTTATCTTTAGACTTCCAGTTTTAAAGCACAGTGACAGGCAGTACATGTGAATGGCTGTGTGAATGAATGACATGCAGTTCATTTCACCCACATTATAAAGAAGACCTATTCAGAGAGAAACAGAGAATTTAAACACAATTTCTAGGACGACCAGAATCTGAATCCAAGTTCAGAGCTATTTTGACTGATCAGACTCTGCCTAAGAATTTACAAGCTTTTCCTCCAACTTTTCCAAGTGAAGCCAAGGCAGTCCCTGTGCCCCACTCACTCCTCAAGGCTCAGATCACA